CAGTATGCTTTTAAAATCAAAATTAATCAATTTTCCCCCTGCACCTCTTATTTTTATAAGGTTAAGAAACCTTTTCTGCTAACCAATCACTGGAAGAAAGAAAATACATTTATTTTGTCCTAAAGAATTAACTGAAATCTACATCTGAATGTACTGTATATGGATTAGATCTATGTATGAAGAGGTCCCCAGTTCAGTCTAACCCAGAACTTAAATCCAAACTGAAATTTAGGGATCCAAATCACTAGTCTTCTGTCACTCTGAGAAAACAAAAAGGACTATCATCTTTTTTTTAAAAAAAACACATCCTGAAATGTCTGCATAATAGTTGAAGACATGGCAGACTTTAAAAGAGATTAACTAAGAATAACTACAGATAGGTGTTGTAAAGTTTTTTTAAAAAAAAATTCAAAAGCTGTTGACTGCTCAATACTGGCAATTCAAGTCGTTAGCACTGTCTCCAAAAGCGTCAATCAAGCCTGTTAAATTGTAACTAAGAACAGATGGAAATGGCAGTTAAATGGACAGTGGTTTTTTTATTATTATTTGGGAGTCCAAATGGGGTGATACAAGCATATATATAAGACAGTAGTGGGGTGATGAGGAGCCTGCTTTACCAGAAGTCAATGGGTGAAATCCAGAGCCTTCACACACATTTCCCCGATTCCCCTTTGAAGCATTTGATGATCTGGGCTTCTTATGGTGGAAAAATCTTTCTTGCTGCTCATATATCCTTAACCTATCTATTCTAGAGTTTCCTATCTAAGCTTCTTGCAACAGTCGACAGATTGGAAAAAGTGAGCCAGAAAATTAATCTTCCCCAAGCAACATCTGGATACCAGCCATCAACAATGTACACAACAATGTAAGATAAGAACCTCAATAAAACAGACTGGAACTTGATAGTGAAGCATTTGAGCAGAATGCTATTTTTTAAACCTCCAAATGTCACTATTTATATCAGTGTTCCCTTAGCCTGAACTTTTTAGTGTTGTTGCATGTTTAGCGGAAGTAGCTGACAGCAAAACATCTCAACTTCCAGTCTACCTCTGAACAGGAAACACACTGCGAGGAGTTCCTGTTTTTAGAAAGAGGACTCTAGGGGGTACGGTAGGAAATCGCCAGTGATTTCACCACGCAAATCATCTTCTAATCATCCTCTAATATTTATAAACTTCATATTTTTAAAAACTCCTATTCAACGTGTTTCATGTATAAAGCTTTAAAGGGAGAATCAAGAACAGCTTTCTGCTTTGAAAAAAATTGGTTCCAAGTGTACTTCCCTAATTGGATTTCTAGCAATATTTTAATGCAGAAGCTTTCAAAAGTTGCTAAAGTAAACTTCCGGGGTTTTAAAAAGAAATATATAAATAGCTTCAGTCGAGCCACATGGAAGACAGACGAGGGGATTCAAAGGTAATAGAAAACCTGCTTGTAGACTGATTGTTTCTGGATGACCAGAGCAAGAGAAAGGTGATTTAACATCCATATATGCACTCCTGTTTAATCTTTTTTGGATCAGTTTGCACACTTTCTGTAACCTCCTTCTAATAGCCATTAAAGTTTACATGTTACTGCAAATGTTCCAGTTTCAAGAACTTTTAATGACTTATGAGGGCAATAGGATCATGTTAACAAGCCCTTCACACACACAATGTCCCTACTTATGTTCATGAAAATAGAAAAAGAAATGCTCTTCTTAAGAGTCCCATTCACTGTCCCTCCCTCGTTCTCGTTGTGAAAAGAAACACATTTGTGGGCACAATTACTTTCAAAATAAGGACTACACAGTTAAACAGGAAATAACACTTGCAAACTAGGAACATATTTCTTTGTTGTTATTGTTGCTGTTATTATTCAGGGGCAGGATGGCCATCTGTCAGGGATGTTTTGACTGTGCTTTTGCTACATGGAAGAAAGAAGGGGGTTGGACTAGATGACCCTTGGGGTCCACCTGAGGAAAAGGAGGGAAGAAGGCTTTACCTTTTCCCCCTATGTTAGAAGAAGGAAGGAGGGAGGGAAAGAAGAAGAGGAGGAAACACATGGCACACACAACATAAGGAAGGAAGGAAGGAAGGTCCCTAGAAAGTACACGAGACAGAAAGGAACAAAACATACTACCAAACTCCCTCCTCCATGAGCAAAAGCTAATGGTGGAGATTTTTCTCAAAGAGACATTTCAGATCCTCCCACAAATTGCCTAACCATATCATTTTAAAGCTGAGAACTACAAATACCATCACATGACAGAATTTTAAAAATTCAGACAGACTATTTTAAAAACTGCATCTCTATATACAAACCAGCTTGAGCACTGCAGTTTGGGGAGGAGGCCCTGCTCTCGGTCCCGTCTCAAGCGTGGTTGATGAGAACGAGAGAGGAAGCCTTCACCGTGATCACTCCCCACCTCTGGAACTCCTTCCCTAAAGAACTAAAAACTGCCCCCTCCCTCCTCTCCTTTAAAAAGCTTTTAAAAACACATCAGTGCACTTTAGCCTATGGAGAGGATGAGGACTAATTACACCTTATATATATACCCTCATCTAGTTGCTGAACATCTACTTTCATTAGTTAGCTGTACACCATCTTAGCTCTAATAATTTTAGTTGAATTTTATAAATTAAAAAAATGTGGAAGGTATGATGTCATGTTTATTTAAGCTGTTATTCTTATAATTTTATTGAGTTTGTTTTGAATTGTTATAGGATAATGAATCCAGTGGAATCTACCACAACAATAACTTACAGTGTTGCTAAGTTTTGTGCTGCCGCACTTTAGATAGATGATGACTGACCCCGCAATGCAGCATCCTGTTGGGCATGTAGTAAGAGCAACATGTTACAGCTGAAATGCTACTAGACTCACAATGTGCCCCTCCCTTCCCCTTTAGTGCCCTTCCTACTGTTTTGACCCCTCCTATCAATCTCCCCTCCCCCTCAGTTCCATACCTGTTACAATAAGCTGTGGTTTTAAACTGTGATTTTTAAACTGCTTTCTAATCTGTTTTTTTAAAAAAACTGTTTCATTGGGGAGCTGTGCTTCCCCTCCCAGGGCGCTTGTGTCCCGCTTTGTGCTGGTCAGTGACCGTAATAGGACCTTAAGATCATCTGGGGAGGCCTTGCGCTCATTACCGCCTTCGTCGCAAGTATGTTTGGCAGAGACGAGAGACAGGGCCTTCTCAGTGGTGGCCCCTCGGCCATGGAACACCCTCCCTATAGATATTAGATCGGCCACCTCCCTTTTAACATTCCAGAAAAAAGTCAAGATGTAGCTTTTTGAACAAGCGTTTGCAAATGCAGAGTAACTGACACAGGAAAATGGAACGACACTAGACAATGAGTCCGGACAACATTTTTAACAAGGAGACACTATGACTTTATATTTTATTGATTTGTTTAGTTTTTATTATGTTATGTTTTTAATTGTATTTATGACGTTGTAAGCATTGAATTTTGTCCTGTTAACTGCCTTGAGTCGCCTACAGGCTGAGAAAGCTAGTATACAAACACAGTAAATAAATAAATAAATAAATAGATTTTGTATTGTATAGTATTGACTTGTTATATGTTATTTTGGCTTTGGATGTTGCCACTGTTTTATATTGCTGGAAGCCACCCTGAGTTTCTTCGGGGGGATTGTGCGGCTTATAAATAAAACATTATCATTATTAGTAGGGTGAGGCAGCATAACTTCCTTTTTAAAAATGTGCGCCATTCAGTCAGTTGAAGACGTAGCGGAGCGCTAGTGGTCTTGTTCGAGAGGTGGGAGTATAAAGTTTTGTCCTGACACAGTTCAGTCGCCATCACGCGTTGGAACAGTGAGGACCGTGCTTTTGTCATTGAGGCCTACTTTTTGAACGGATTTGGAGTGACCGGCCCGCTCTCCAGATTTGACCCCTTGTGATTTTTTTCTATGGGTTTTTTTGAAATCCCGTGTTTATGTGAACCGTCCAAGGACCCTACAAGATTTGAAGACCAACATCCAGGGAGAAATTGCCAACACAACGCCTGCTATGCTGGCAAGAGTCATGACAAATGCCAGAAATCAGTTTACTCAGTGTACAGATTGGACAATATTTAAAGAATATCTAAAATAAATATAACAGATAAGAAACAAAACAGACAGAAAGGTCTGGATATAGACAAGAATAAAGACAACATATAATAGACAATAGTCAAAACAAAAATAGAAAACAAGACGAAGAAAGAAGGAAAGAAAAGGAGGAAACCAACCTTGAAGAATCCTGGAAGTCAAAGGAAACGAAGAATGAACTTTCTTGAATCTTTTCTTTTAAACTCACCTTTTGGTACTTCTCTACACCCTTTATCTCCCTATATCCCCCCCCCCACTCTTAGACATTCCCAGCCTCTCCCCCCTTTATTTTTTTCTCCCTTATTCCCCCCTTAAATGCTTTTCTTTTCTCTTTTCTTCTATCTTTCTTCATCGCATCCTACCCTATCTGATTTTAATAACTGTATATTTGAAAAAATTTCAATAAAGAATATTTTTTAAAAAACTATGTAAAACAAAACTTTAGGTATGCACCTACATTATAAAATAAAAATAAAAATTCTGATTCATACAATGGGTTTTATTAAGTTTTGAAAAAAGGAAGTTTTGCTGCTTCAGCCTGTATTAGTATTCTGAAGTGACAGGAGAGACACACATTTGGACACAGAGGGGCAGAGATGCTGCTGGGGCGCTGACATGTACAACTGGCCACTTACCATCGACCTGGATCAAGAGTGGAGTTCTCACATGGATTTCGCTTGTGCAGTTTTGGCCCTGTTAAGATATACCCCCAGACACAGCTCTTCCCTCCCTCTGCTCCAGCTGGACACTTCAGCCTCCTCTGAAGGGGAAATCAAGAGCTTTGGCGCCACTTCCTGGGGACAAAGGCCCAGAGGGACACGTGTGGCGCTTCTCCTTGAGGGACAGAGACGAGGAAGCGCTCCTTTCCCTCCAGGAACCCTCCAGAGAGCTGCCTCGAAGCCTCTTACCATCTGGGCCGCCTTCAACATGGCTGGGCAGGACCCCGCGTAGCCTTGGTCGACGAGCCCGGCGTCTGTCGGGGAAGACGAGGCGGCGGCGGTGGGGGAGGAGGCCCGGCTGGTGCTGGCGTCGGTGCGGATCACCCTGGCCACCCCGGGCGCCATCCCGCAGCCCTTTTGGGGCGTGTGGAAGGCTTCTTTCTTCGCCCTCTGCCTCCCCCTCTTCGGGGCCGCGGGGGCGGGACAGGGCGGGGAAACCAAATCCGTGGTTTCCCATCGAGGTCTGCACACACAGCGCTTGGAGAACACGTCATGCCTCTCCTCCTCCTCCTCAGAAATGTTTATTTCCCGCACCAAAGAATACAGAAACGTTCGCTTGAAGGTGTTGCGTGGGGAGGACTTCTTCAAACTTCTGAGGAGGCCTTGAAGGCAGAGAGGCTGGTGTGAACATCGACAGGAAACTTAAAGGCACTCACACTCACACGTGTGCAAGTGGCCTTCTGGTGAGCCTTGTCTTTCATAGTTCTCTTAAGCAAGGCACCCCCAGAAGTGGTTTTGCCAGGCTCTCCCTCTGAAAGACAGGTCCCAGCACTTGGTATATCTCTGGATTATATGAGTCCGCACTGACAAATAATCTGGGATAAACAACACCTGGGATAAGATGCTGGGATACAGGGCCTGCCTGAAAGGGTCTGAGAGCAGGCCTGTAGCGAGGGGGTGGTTTTAGGGGTTCACCCCCCCCCGAAATGTTTCAGATTTTTTTTAAAAAACCTGGTTTACTCATGAATTTTAACTGGTTAACCAAATCCCCATGCTAAGCCTATGAGATGCAAAAAATTAAGAGTCCCTCCAGAACTGCAAGCACTATCTCAAGCAAATATTGACAATTTATTCACACTGTCATTACTTGCAGCAATAGCCGATGTAGTGAAGCAACCAAGTTGGGTGTGTGTGTGTTGAATGCTCTCATTAAGGAGGCCAGACTTGGTGGAGGTGGTTGACAGGGGTGGAGCTGCAGGCTATTGAAGGTTGCTCTGCCCCCTGCTGTTCTCTTTGCCTCATCGTGAGCTAGGAGGCAGGTTTCAACCCCCCCCCCAAATTTTCAACCCTCCCCGAAATTTTCAAAAGCCCCCCCTGAAATTGTCAACCCTCCCCGAAATTTTTTTCTGGCTACGGCCCTGCCTGAGAGATATACTTAATCTCTCAGGGCCCTTTCAGGCAGGCCCTGTGTCCCTGCATCTGATCCCAGGTGTTGTTTATCCTAGATTATTTGTCAGTGTGGACTCATATAATCCAGTTTAAAAGTGGAAAACCTGGGATCAGATCCTGGGATATAGGGCCTGTCTGGAAAGGCCCTCAGGATAGGAATCTGGTGTATTGTCGAAGGCTTTCATGGCCGGAATCACTGGGTTGTTGTAAGTTTTTTCAGGCTATATGGCCATGTTCTAGAGGCATTCTCTCCTGACATTTTGCCTGCATCTATGGCAAGCATCCTCAGAGGTTTTGAGGTCTGTTGGAAACTAGTGAGGATGCTTGCCATAGATGCAGGCAAAACGTCAGGAGAGAATGCCTCTAGAACATGGCCATATAGCCCAAAAAAACCTACAACCACCCAATACATAAGTTAGCTTGAAGGTGTTGCGTAGAGAGGAAGAGCAGCCCTTGCACTTCTTCAAACTTGAAGGCAGAGAGGCTGGTGTGAACATCGACAGGAAACTTAAAGGCACACACACTCACACGTGTGCAAAGGGCCTTCTGGTGAGCCTTGTCTTTCATAGTTCTCTTAAGCAAAGCATCCCCAGAAGTGGTTTTGCCAGGCTCTCCCTCTGAAAGACAGTTCCCAGCACTTGGTATATCTCTAGGTATATCTCTCAGGGCCCTTTCAGGCAGGCCCTGTATCCCAACATATTATCCCAGGTGTTGTTTACCCCAGATTATTTGTCAGTGCGGACTCATATAATCCAGTTTAAAGTGGAAAAACCTGGGATCAGATCCTGGGATATAGGGCCTGTCTGGAAGGGCCCTCAGGATAGGAATCTGATGTATTGTCGAAGGCTTTCATGGCTGGAATATGGAGCCCCCTGTGCTGACAGGTTACAGGTTCGAATCCAGGGAGAGGTGGATGAGTTCCCTTTGTCAGTTCCAGCTCCTCATGCGGGGACATGAGAGAAGCCTCCCACAAGGATGATAAAACATCAAATCATCTAGACGTCACCTGGGCAACATCCTTGCAGGCGGCCAGTTCTCTCACACCAGAAGTGACTTGCAGTTTCTCAGGTTGCTCCTGACATGACAAAAAAAATGGCTGGAACCACTGGGCTGTTGTAGGTTTTTTCAGGCTACATGGCCATGTTCTAGAGCAGGGGTCCTCAAAATAAGGCCAGGGGCCAAATGCAGCCCTCCAAGGTCATTACCCGGCCTTCGCTCAGGATGAACCTAAGTCTGAAACCGCAACAATCTGCGGTGATTTCTAAAAATATAACACTAAAGGTTGCCACATTTGCAATCGCAGCCCAAAAGATCAGAGCCAAAGTAGCAAAATCCATACTGGGAGTCAGAAATGGAAACGGTTTGGAATGACACAAAGCAGACACTGTTATTGTCATGTTTCTGCTTTCATAATTTTAAAGAACTTGTTTTAGTTTTAATTCTTGTTACGTTTTAAGGTTTATATTGGAAAGTTTTTATAAAGTTAGTGTATTACTGATGTCATGGCTAGTACAATAAACAATTCATTCATTCAACAGAAACCACTTGAAAGCACACAACAACAATCCTATCTCATCAGTCAAAAGCAGGCCCACACTTCCCATTGAAATACTAATAAGTTTATATTTGTTAAAATTGTTCTTCATTTTAATTATTGTATTGTTTTAAAAAAATTTGCACTACAAATAAGATGTGTGCAGTGTGCATAGGAATTCATTCATTTTTTTCAAATTATAATCCGGCCCTCCAACAGTTTGACGGACTGTGACCAGGCCCTCTGTTTAAAAAGTTTGAGGACCCCTGTTCTAGAGGCATTCTCTCCTGACATTTCACCTGCATCTATGGCAAGCATCCTCAGAGGCTGTGAGGTCTGTTGGAAACTAGTGAGGATGCTTGCCATAAATGCAGGTGAAACGTCAGGAGGGAATGCCTCTAGAACATGGCCATATAGCCCGAAAAAACGTACAACCCAGGAATCTGGTGGTTCAATACTTTTTTTGTACCATAGCTCCTAGTGTTCCTCACTATTGACCATGCTGGCTTGGGCTGCAACATCTTAAGGGCACAATGGTTCCTTTTTCCTGGCTGTATCTACACTGTAAAATAGGCATGAGCAAACTTCGGCCATCCATGTACTTTGGACTTCAAATCCCACCATTCCTAACAACTTAAGTGGCTGAAGGGGAAAAGGAAGGGACCTGAGGCTGTTAGGAATGGTGGAAGTTGGAAGTGCAAAACACCAGGAGGGCTGAAGTTTGATCATGCCTGTTTTGGAGAGCATACAAAAGGGTTCACCCCCCTATGGTGCTTGTTTTGCTGTCTGTGCCCCTGTTCAGAAGATTTCACATCACTTTTTCCTGTCCCTGTGAGTTTTTATGTCCCTGGGAGTTGAAGTTCAAAACACCTGGAGGTCAAGGTTTGCCCATGACTGCTGTAGAATGAATGAATGCCATTTGAGAACACTTCAACTGCCAAGGCACAATCCTATGGCATCCTGAGATTTGTAGTTTGGTGAAGTACCAGTTTTCATTGACAGAAAAGGCTCAAGACTTTGGAAAACAATTCCCACAACTCCATAGCATTGAGCCATCAGTTAAAGTGATGTCTATAAAGTGAAGGTGCATCCCAATTTAGCTGCTTTATACCAAATCCGAATGGCTCATTGGTCAAGGGCACACATGTCAAACTCAAGACCCACAGACCAAACGTGACCCTCCATGGCTCTCCTGATTCCAGACAAGAACTCCTGCATTCATCCTCAGTAGTCATCACAACTAGAGTTGTGATACAGTAACATCTCCAACATCTGTTTAGTCAGGAAAGTGGGGTTTGAATGTGAATGCAAGGCTTGTGGATATGATGTCTGGCTTTACATCTTTTCTCCAACCATAGAGCCACAAGTGCTGTTGGACTGCAATTCCCATTATTCCCAGTCTGCGTGGCAGATAGGAGTTGTCATTCAATAATATGGAGACCCAAACTGGGTAATAACTAAAAAGCACCAACCACTAAGTATGTATGTGTATATATGTGTGTGTGTGTATAGAGAGAGAGAGAAAGAGAGCGCACGATGGTCCTCAGTATCTATGGAGTCTCCATCTATGGATTCAAAGGCCTTTTGAAGGCAACCATAAGGCTGATGTGATCCTTGATAAAAATGAGTTTGACATCCTTGGTCTAGGGGTATGATTCTTGCAAATGCCAACTGTGGGTCTGTACAGCTCAGTGTTGTCTAAACATATGATCTCCAAGTTTCACATAAGCCACTTTCCCCCAAGGGATTCCAGAGACTGAACCTGGGGCCTCCGGCATGCCAGACATAAATGTCATCCTGAGTACCATCTTTGGTGAAAAGGGTATGATATGAATTCAAAAATGCCATGCTATTCATTAACGTACGAGTTTAGGACTCGTACGCTAATGACAAAGTATGTGTGTAGATATTATGTCCTGTTTGTGGAGTTCACAAAAGCATCTAGGTGACCACTGCTGTTGTGTATGTCCATGGGGTTGGAGTTTCTAGAATAGTGCTGATACAGTACACCATCTATTATGAAAGCCTTGCCTTCAGTTAGCAGGTATATGGTGTAGGCTTCAGTCAAGTGACAAAAAAGGAATTCAGAGGCACTTTTACTGAGACTATTTTGGCAGTGGAAGCATGACCCAGGTTTGAGTGACATGGATCATGAAATAAGTCTCAAAATGATCTTCCATAAGTCCAAATCAATTTTAATCCCTTTCCTCTCTTCAAAACTATGTGAAGATTTGATAAAACGGACAGACACTAAACGATCAGACATCGTAGTTTGACTCTCTTTTCCCCCCTCAGTTGTAAAATCATAATTTTCTACATATCACAAAGGTGATTGAGAGAGAGCAGAGCATGCATGGCATTAAATGACTTCCATCAGCATTAATAGACATTACTGTCAGTGTCAATACATCGTTGCCCCAGGCGAAAATGTTTTAAGGCCCTTCTAGAGCTCAACTTGCCAAATGTGCAAACACCTTTTTTTTATTTCACATGTATTTTTATTTCAGTTTTATTTGGTTTTTTTCTGCAAGGTACACTTTATTTTCACAATAATCTTGTGAGGTAGGTTAGGTCAAGAGATAGTTACTGTTCCAGATTGAAAACCGATTGGGAATTTGAACCTGGATCTACTTAATACAACATTAGCAAGCTAACCGCTGTACCCGATGTGCTCTTAAAATATCATTGGGAAGGATTGGGTTCCATACAGATGTTTGTTATGGATCTTTTAAATTCCTGTGGGGAAAGGGGCCACAGTTTCCTTTTTCTCACAGAACCTCTGATGGGGGCTGCATAAACCCAACCATAAAAAAAAGAAATCATAGTGTATCACAATATCTGAAATATTCCTCTCTTGGGTGTTCCATCATTTTACAATTAGTAAGTCAAACAAGCATAACAATTACGATGAAAATATGTTTAGTGTCATGTACATGAAAACTTATTTACATAGCATTCAAATCCAGTAAAATATCCAATGGAGGTCATGGCACTGCTTCAATTGGAAATAGAGTCATTTTTCAGAATTGTCTTGTTAATTTTAATAAATTGATTTAAACATCTTAAGAAGAAATTAAAACCACTCTTCTAACATCCTACGTTCTGTCATCATAAACTATCAGGCTCATGATAAGGTAATTAAAGCAGTTTCTCACTCTTACTGAAATAGATTAAAGATACAGTAGGCCCACCCATTATGTGAGCTCATTTAATGCCATTTCAGTTATATGCAAATAAATTAGAATACCACAATGCTGGAGTACCTAGTTATTCCTAGAGAAGGGTATTCTCTAGACCTCAAACACAATTATATGGTGAACTTCCAGAAGGTGACCACATAATTGTGTTGGAAGCCTAGTGAGAACACTTCTCGATGTGGCTGTGACTTCAGATCCTGGTCAGAGGTGAAGGAGCTTATTTCTCAAGATGTTGGGAAACCATATGCTGTATGAAACCCAATATTTTGGTTTCATGCCACAGACGTTCATTCTATGGATCAACACCATTTTCCAGGACCACCTCTCTTGCATTATGCTGATCTTGCAGGAGGCCATGCTGAACAAAACGCAGACTGCCCAGAGGAGTATCACCCCGTCGCTCAGCTAGAGAGGGACAGAGCAGTTCTTCTCCTTCATAAATGTGTCGTTTTGAAAACCTCTTGGCCCAAATGGAAGAGACCCTCCTGAGTACAGTGCTGAGCATGCCAGAGAACTTCCTGCTCCCAGAAAGCAGAGCCCAGGAGGACTTCAGCTATTCGGAGGAAGATTTTCAAGAGCTTCAGGAGGCGGTTGCCTGGCTGGATGAGAGGCTCAGGGTTGAAACTCAAGCCAAGGAGGCCCTGCAGGCTGAGCTGCAGGAGCAGAAGCCTGTCCAGGTGTACATGGAGAGGATGCTCCAATGGTCTGACAGCCTTGAACAAGCCAAGAGGAAACAAGGGGGTGGCCACCTCCAAGTAGCACTAAAAGCCTTGACCAAGACAACTGCCAGGCTGCAAAACATAGTGCGAAAGTGGAGCAGAAAATTGACCTGTTGGAGAAACTATCTGCAGCTCAACATCAAGACTTCTTCTTTGGAGATTGTTGCATGACATTGTTATAGAACTGTTCTTTAACTACTATGGCTGCCTTCTCTGGCGTCCTGGGGTTTTTAAGAATGTAAGGGTGCCATGACATTTACAATATTATATATGCATTCAATATTATTTAACATACATAAATTAAAATTGGAGAACACTTCTCTAGGCATTGCTGGGTCCTCCTGCTTTGGTGGGAAGCCAAGACATAATTTCAGATAAGAAAAAAAATAAGTTTTTCAGGTTAAACATAAAAACTGTACTACACAAAGAGTCCTGGAATTGTTGCCTTGCATAATACACAGGCCTACTGTACAGATAATGTTCCTGAGAATGTTCTTCTGTTTCTTAATGTAGCTGCTTATCATCAGAACTGGTCCTACAATTAGGCATAATGAAATAATAGATGCTGAGGATTGGGGTAGTGGCAAAGTGTTAGCAATTTAGAGCTGATGTGTGCTGTGCAGTCTACTCTTCCCACTGTCCTGGCTCATGTGACTTCAAACTCCAAAGTCCAAAAATGTATGAGTCCAATAGCATGATCCCATTGTTGTTTATCAGAAACTGATGTCCTCAGAGATGTGCTGCCTGCCCTTGTGGGCCTTTCCAAGTCTTAATATTCTGTGATTCTGATCCTGGAAGTAGCATGATTCTATCATGACTAGTAGCCATTTGAGTGCCTTATTAAATTTCTCTTTAAATATATTTAAATATATCACATTCTGAGGAAACTAATTCTTCATTATAATTAGAAACTGCATGAAGAAGCACATTTTTTTACTCTCCTGACTCTCCTACAACTAAACTTTTCTAAATGACCCTATTATGTTTTATGACATGAGAGACACATTCACTTGGAGGCTTTTTTCATACCATGCATAATTGTATATATTTCCATTATTTGCTTCCTTTAAAGTAAATGCATCCAAGTACTGCAGCCTCTCCTTATAGATGACTTGCTCCAGGTTCCTTATAATTTTGGTGCCTCTTCCAACTTTACCATATTCTTTATAATATCCAGCATCTAGACCTGTAAAAAAAATATTTCAAGTGAATTTGCTCCAAAGAACTGGCATTTAAAAAATGTTCTTAAGCAAATCTAGCCTAGTTAAAACTAGTCTCATCTACATATAATGTTTTTTCTAAAAACGGTGGCACTTTAATTCAGACATTTCACAGCTGCACATATTTGCTTGCGAGTTATGCCAAACTAAAACTACACAAAGTCAGACTTTTGAATAAATACATGTGGGATAAAGCTAAAACAGTTACATTCACAGAATAAAACAGCAGAAACATTCATTAACATTTTCTTACAATGTGTATACTCAAACACCATATTAATCGATACAAAAAATAACATTCTATTCACTGCTTTGGATGAAGATTTACTTTTCCTGAGGAAAAACTGGTTAAAAATCATGAATCTTAAATCAGATGAATAATCTAAGTTCCATTAATGACCACTGATTTCAGTGAGTCTGTTCTGAGTAAATCTGTATCCAATAAACAATACTTTTATCAGAATATATGATTGCTCAGTGCTACAAAAACAATAGCATATTTTCAGTAAATCTTTCTTATAATTACAGGCAGTTCCCATTTTTTTTTATGTCAGAAGCAACTTGAGAAACTGCAAGTCGCTTCTGGTGTGAGAGAATAGGCCATCTGCAAGGACGTTGCCCAGGGGAAACCCAGATATTTTACCATCCTGTGGGGGACTTCTCTCTTATCACCATATGAAAAGCAGGAGCTGACAGATGGGAGCTCACCCTGCTCCCTGAATTCAAACGACCAGACTTTCAGTCAAAAGTCCTACCAGCACAAGGGTTTAACCCATTGTGCCATGGGGGGCTCCCCAAGTTACAAACACCTGACTTACAAATAACTCGAACTTATGAACAGGGATGAGACAAAAAGAAGTGAGAGAAATCTACCCCTAGAAAGGGGAATTCAGTCTTGGAAGAGTTATCATGGGGAAAAAGTGTCTCCACTGAGGCTTTCTCACCAATCCTTGTTTCCACAAGCCAAATTTTTCAAAAACCAATTATCACAAGGATAGAAAATGAGGTGAAACCTTCTGAACAGGGGCACAGACAGAAAAAACAAATACCACAGGTGTGTTAACCCTTCCCTATGCTATCTAAAGCCAATTGATATATATATTTGGCCAGAAATACACTTAAAATGTACCTGTTCCAATGTACAAACACATTCAACTTAAGAACAGACCTACAGAACCTATTTTGTTTGTAACTTGGGGACTGCCCGGATATATAAAAGTTGCTCATTAATAAAGCTGTAATCCTATGCACTAACATTCCCCAAACCAGTGCCCTTCAGACATGTTAGCCTGCAAACCACCTCACCCAGCCAAAAGGGCCATCTAATTGGGAATGCAGATTCTTCAATACATCAGGAGAGTGTCAGGCTCATAAAGTCTGCTGAAAATGAAATCCCATTGAACTCAGTGAAGTTTATTTTGCAGTAGAAGTGTATACCATCATATTAGAAGGCCTTCAAATATATCTGGTAGGTAATTGGCTGTAACAAACATATTGATCCTTGACTCGGGTCAGATGGCATGGCCAAGAATGATTTAGTAAGCGAGATGTGTCAAAGGTTTCCATACTTCCTTTTTCTTCTTCTTCATGCAGATCAGTTTGCAGCTCTGCTTCTTGGTTTATGATAATCTTTGATTTGAATGTTACAGAAATGTACATTTACCCCAAACCAAGTGGGGGAGGGACATAGTTGCACAAGGAACCACTCCATATACCTATATACCTGTTTTTCTTTGATTTAAAGAGGATATTTATTGCAAGGTTCGTGATCTCCAAGATACAAAACTAAAATAGGCATTTCCACCGTAGCATGAAGTGACAACGAAGGCAAAGAACTGTACAGAGGGAAAAGAGAGAAATGTCAGAGGCAGACTTTTATTCATTTTTCAAAGGTATTTCATGGCATATAAAAGTAAGGTTTTTATATTGTGACTGTGGGTCACGGAGCCCTTGTTGCAAGGACTTTTTGTTAGCAATGCTTACTGGTGTGCAGGGTAGAAAAGAAAAAAGGTAAAGGTCATCTTCACAACAATACAATCCCACTGATGCCAATCAACATAAATATACAAATGGATTCTCAAGTGTCAATTCAAATGCTCCTGCATCTCTCATGTTTAGAGAGGTTTGCAAGCTTGAACAAATGGTGCCTGACTGTGTCAAGCATTCATTTCACTGCAAACCTTTATTCAATAGGGCCCTGACACAAGGTAATTATAGCAGAAGCTATATAAACAGAATCTCTGCATTCTTAAAGGCAGTCAGCCATGACTTTTCTTGTCCAGTGATCACACACTCCATCCATTATCTGACAATCAGAATATTATTATTTCTAGGCAGGGAAATGTGGATGGGAGGCATGTGAATATGCTGTTACATGAGTAGCTGTATTTATGCAGGCATATGGCTCACTGTGACTCAATGTAAGTCATTTCAAATATACTGAACTACACTCTGATGTCATATTTTTCCCCAAATAGATTAAACCATGATTTCCTAACAGGAAAGCTTGGAAATGTTGAATTCCAGTGCATAAAGAGAGAAGTGGGGTAGTACCCAAGGCCAGACATGTAGCCCGGGGAGGAGGGCCTACTGGTGCATTATTTAAACTGTTATGTTTATTCATATCATGATCTGATCACCATACTCAATATATCCCATATGCATGGGGGTATTGGGGGTAACAATACAAAATGTTTGCTAGGGTAAACCCTCTTTCACTGAGACTCAGCCCCCCCCCCGAAACAAACTCAGCCCCCCCCCCCCCGAATCAAAATCCTGGCTACAGGCCTGCCCAAGGCTGACTTTTGCTCTAACAAACCACAGTTAACTAGGCAGACCAGTAACATCTTTGCTGACCCAGTGAAGTCTCTGTTGATTGAGTAATGCCAGAACTATGGACAGCAAAGGCTATATACACCTCACTCCCTCTTCTCTCCCATTTGTGTACTATATGTACAATCAGAATTCTCTCTATATAAGGTGATGCAATAATACAACTGTAGTTCAGGTATGGGCAAACTTAGCCCTTCCAGGTGTTTTGGACTTCAACTCCCACAATTCCAGCTGTTAGGAATTATGGGAGTTGAAGTCCAAAACACCTGAAGGGCCGAAGTTTGCCCATTCCTGGTGTAGAATCACCTTTAAATTAACATTTTACTTACTGAAGAAGCAGCCCAGCTGTTGTAGTTATGGCTGTCAGGTTCTTTGGAGACTGCACAAGCATCTACAATGGCAGCAATGAAGTACAAAACAAAGGCACTGCCATTAAAACAGAGACCCTGGAAAGGCAAAATAGAAGAAGACAGTGAGTTTCTTCATGTGCATCATTTCATTCATACCCCTTGTTTTAATGGAAGTAATGAATAATGCAGGTTTTAAGGAAAATAATTTACTTATATGATCATTATCCTAAGTTCCTAGAGTTGTTACACTTCTCTGTTAAAAACTCATGTTCTATATGTGAGCCCGCATTTATCTGAAGTTATGCTGGTTTCCACACCAACTCTGTTATTTTGGGATCTGTACCAGAAACAACCAGTATAACTGGTACTGAATTCTGGATTAAATCCACTGATTAGTCCTCTGGTATCACATTTGTTGGTGTATACATTCATTGTGCTATCGATCAAAATGAATACCATCTAGATATTATGGGTGAAGCTTCAAATGACTGCAGAGGCTGGGGATAATGGGAGGTATATTTCATTATATTTATGGCAGGGGGTGGGCAAAGGTTTAAAGAAGCATGTTTCAGCATGGATATCTGAACAGGAATCACAAGGAACACCAGCACACTTCCTCAAAAACAGGTCTGCTAGCTGGAAAACGCTCGTATTTGCTGGTTGAAATAAGGCGAATAATTGTTTTAGCAATAGTTTCCAGCTACAACTCTCCCTGGGCCGTTGCAAGACAGCTCAGCATTATAGTTAGCTTATCTTCAAGAGCTCAGGCTTGAGAACCAAGCCCTGTGGGGTATGAAATACCACTGGACACTTGAGCATGCTTTGTTCACATTCCTCTTTCTGTGTGTGAGTTTGTATTACACTTCCTTTGTATGCCAAAGTTCTTTTTTTTAGATTTTATTGAATGCTTTTCTAATACTACAGATATAAAAAATGGGGAAAAGTTTTGGAAATGGGATGGAACATGGGGGGGGGGGGGGACACGACGGGGACTAAATATAATAATAAACCAAAAAAAGGCCAAACATCTTTTATTGGTTAATACAAGTCCATCATTGCACTGACATGTTTGAAACAGATTACCACAGTTTCTCAAGGAGGAATTAGCCATCCATTTTCCTTCTCAGATTGAGAATTCAAGTAAGGTATTACTATTAAAATGGATTGTTCATAGCATAATATGGATATTCTTGATTTTTTTTAAAAAACTAGGACTAACACACCTGAACACGATGATGTAAAAATCCATTGAAATAGTTCTAAACTACACATTCATACATTAATTTTGTGTTGCTAGATATTAATGCTCTTTTTGACTTACAGTCTTTGTTAGAAACTAGTGCAGTACAAGCAGGATGGTAGGGAAGGCCCTTTGTTTTGGCTTGTGTTTTCCAAGACAATTCCCATCCTGTTGAAATGAGATAGCACTTGGTGTGCAAGTTGAAGCTGTGTGACTGTACAAAGTATTGCTATTATCAGGCTATATTTTTCTTTTTAAAAATGTGGACAAAAGCAGCAATACTCACAACTGTGGTCCATGGCACTTGGGGGATCCTAGTGTATGTCATTGTCATATAGATGATTAAGAAGAAGAGTGTAAGAACCCAGTAGAACACTGCCACAAACATCACCCAGCCAAAGATAGGATACAGGAAATATTCTGTTCCAGCAATCAGTGTCCATACCAGCAACCCTAGTATCTGCAAATACAAAAAGAAAAAAAGAAAAGGTTGTTCAGATGGAAGACCAACATCCCTCCCCACAAAGTGTGGTGTGTGTGAACATCTTTCCTATCGGATCCTAGATGTTTAATATGAGTGTTCAGAACATATTTTTCTCTCTCCACATAATATGATTTGTTTATTTGTTGCTATTGTAGAACATTTTAAAAATGTTCTTAATCATCTATATGTGTACAATATACATGTGTGCAATGTATTAGAAAAAACAGAAAAAATAATAACCAGTTGTAACAATGCTACAATGTGTACTTGATACAGCAGCAAAAGAGAAGAGTGCAAAGATCTTAGAGACAAAAAGCAATGATTAAAATCCTTAGAAGAGTTAAAAAGGGCCTCATGTTGCAACAAAAAGAACATAATGTTGGTGACAGGCAGATCTTCTTGCAGAGAGCATTTCAGCTATGCACTTCATCTTCCTTTGTGAGGATACATAGAAGAGGATCTCAAATTATGATATACTAGTTTGGCTAGGAAGATATAGAGGAAACACCATTTCTACAGATCCATGCTGAACTTCTACTTGTATGCTGCACACAAATTAGATGAAGTGGCTCCAGGACACTTGCACAGCTGCCATATAGCTATAATAGTAGCGAAAACTGTTTCAAGTAATAACCTCTCAAAATATTTTTGCCTCTTTTAAACTAGTGCTGAAGTGGTACTAATGTTCACATATTTTTTAGTATGAATCACTCTTTTTATGGTACAAATAGTTGCCTGAGTTCCCTTTTTCCTTTTATTGCTTTTATGTGTATTTTCGTCTTGAGCAGAGAGTTATTTTAAGAGATGGTTAATAACTGAATTCAGTAGATAACTAGTTGATATCACCCAAAATGTTTAAAGCAAGGCAAAATTTAGAAGTTGGATAAAGTAGACCTTTGGATTACTAACTCCCTCATTACCCTATCCTTCTTGGCCAGTAGTCATACTGGCTGGAGGGCTCCGGGAGATTTAATCCAAATCAGTAAATTTCCAATGTTATGGAATTTTTTTCAAATTTAGGTCAGCATAAAGACAGGGTGACAAAACATTAAAAGCACTCCAGAGAGAATCTAATGTCAGGTCAGAAGGGAGTTTATATAGAGATAAACATATTTTTCTGGTTCAATTATTTTTCCTATGCGTAAGAGGAAAAGGATACTCGTTTTGAAGGGGCATATGTTCTTGAAGTCCATGTGTATAGATGAAACTGCAAATAATAGTAAACTATATTTTCAGTGGGATGAACAATAGAGGTACCAAAAGAGCTTGTACAGGAGACTCTAAGTGAAGTAGTTAAACCATATATATTAATTCTGCGGATTCAGGGGTTCTACTGTGGACAACCCAAGGGAAACATTTATATCTCAACAGTGACATTTGTTTTTACTGTTCTAATGTAGAACAAATCCTATGTAAAATCATACTATATATTTTGATATTAATACTGAAATCTATACAGAAAGTCTACTTTCTGTATATATTTCCGTATATACCCCTTTACCTGTCTACAACTTCACTATATGAAAAATATGGTCTGGTTGTAGCAATGCAGATGCTATGTATCATCTCAGATGTAAATATTCGCACAGAAACAAAATACTTAGCATTTTAAGAACTTTCTTAGTCCTATATTCACAAAAACCTTACAAAGGGGTTAATCTACAAGGCAAGTAAGGCTAAATTAGGGGTTGGATTTTGATGTGCCTGCAAGCTCCACCCACAACATCCCTGCATCCTAAGCTCTTGTTTTTAGTGCAAATATCTGAACAGGGTTGTAAGCACTTACAGCAGAATAACAAAGTTTCCTGCATTTGGGAACAACTTATCAACAAATAACATGCATTTATGCTTTTAAACTTGCATGCAGAGAGTTCTAAAAAACCCCAATGTGTACAGGTCACAGTTAATATTTATACACATTTCCTTCATCATAGCCCTAAATGTTTTAAAATTCTGGTTTCAAATATATTTTTGGGTTGCAGCTCTCAGTTTCCCCAGACAGTATGGCCAAATGTAAAGGGTAGTAGAAGAGCCAACTAAGTACACCTGGAGATCTAAACTTGGAAAAGGTGACATTAGATGAAAGTTAGACAAGAATAAATTGGCAAACTCATGCAAATCAAACTCAATATTGTTTTTCTTTTTCATATTCAATATTCTATTCATTCCTTCAAGTAGTTTTCCCAACAAATCAAAACATGTAGCATTTCATTTTAACAGCATATTAACGATTTGCTATTTACTTAAATATATAGCTTTTGTAGTCAAAATTAAAAGTCCTATTTTCATATAGTTTATGACTATTCAACCAAATTACTGATATAGAAAACACCACTCTGCCTCTTCTACCACTGGAGGTCACTATTGTTCCATGGGAATATTTCTTCCTTAATATTTTAACAATTATGAACCCCTCTTTGATGAAATTTGGTTTTGCTTTAGCCTTGATCAAACCTATTGTTCTGAAGTATTGAATGCTTAGAATAATCTATGTTAATCATATTACCAATAATTATAAACAATTAATGGTTTATAGTATTATATTCCATCTATAACAGCTTTCTCTAATGAACCCCTTCTGGGTGTGTTGGACTACAACAGTGGTTCCCAACCTGTGGTCTGTGGACCACCAATGGTCCACAAGAACTAAAATATGGTCCGTGACCTCACTGTTACAACAAGAGCAACTGATCTTATTAACCCCTCTTATAGTGTATTAAATAGTATGATATGGATGGATGACGGCGAATAATGATTTTTGATGGCGACTGACCACTGTAATTATATGATTGTATTTTGCTATTTTAATGTTTTAGTGTGATTTAGAATATGATGTTTTAATGACTGTCTGTAATACTGATGTTGGAAACCGGCCTGAGTCCCTCAAACGGAGGTGAGAAGACCGGTATACAAAACTGCTAAATAAATAAATAAATAAATAAATAAATATGGTTTTCTGTGAGCAAGCAGATGGTGACTACTGGGTGGCATATGTTCTGTATCAGAAACTAGAAGTGATGTGGTCTATCCAATGTAATTTTCTGAATCAGCACCCCAAATAACCAATCCAAATCTAAAGTTGACCAAAAACTGATTCATAACCCTTTTGGTTCTAATGTTGGAGAGTTGTCCCTAGTCAAGTGGTCCCTGGTCAAAAAAAGGTTGGGAACCACTGGACTACAACAAGTCTGGTCATATTCTTTCCTTGCCATAAGTTCTCCCCTCCTTTGCCTTGTTTTTTTCACCTAGTCCTCTCCAACATGGTGCACCTAAATATGTAGCACTGCAACAACCACCTAGACTACAACTGGCCTTTTGTTTCATGTGTCTGCACATTGTTAGCTGTTGATGGAGGAAGAGGTTTAACCATTATTTAGCAGTAAACATTAATGTGTGCTAATAATTATTTGTTTGTATCTTCTACAAAATGGGTTTTCATGACAATCACTTACCAAATGGCCTTTCATGTGATTAACATTCTGTGGGCAAAATGCATTTTGCCCCTATATCCTGCAACAGGCTGCACTAGTTTGTCCTAATGCACAGGAAGTGACATTGCTTATCTTTGTTTGCCATTTTGGTTGTAACTGAGAAGTTTGGGGAGATTGTGACATGGAGAGCCGAACTGCTACATTGGCTCATTTTGGTGTGGTCTAGGTGCATACGAATCACATGAAAAATTGATAGTGGGTTACAGGGGACTCTCAAGGACTTTCAGGGCCTGTAAACGTGTTGAATGTGGCCAGCATGCTACACTTGCCCCACTTCTATGTCACTTCCAATTGTTGTTCTTCACTGTAACTTTGACTAATCATTAGAAAATAAGACTCTTACCTTAGCAGTGTATGTATTGTTCAATACCTTCAGCTTGCTATTTTGTCTAGTTCCCTTCAATGTCAACAAGCAGTTGCTCGTAAGCAAGAATCTCAAAGAATGCTGTCCTATTCACTGCGTAAGTTTTGAGACACAGCTCATTTATTTTGGTCACAGCTTTGAGATATAATGGATTAAAAGGTTGTTTGACATTTTCAGCTGGTTCAGGAAAACTGAACACTGCATTTTATTGAGCCTGACAAACTCCAAAATAATATTACACATTTCTTGATTAGAATTTAAAAGGTCAGACTGGCTCTTGGCTGATAACCTACATTGAGAATATAGCAAAACAGATTTCGACAGTGTTTAAATGTCTCTTGTAAATTGATTTGAAAGTCATGGACCTAGCCAGCCAAGGAAAATATATGAAGCTCTAATACTACTGATATCTAGGAAAAACACATATGCAAAACAATCTGTTCACTATTTGCTTTTTTCTCTCTCTTGTGAAACTTGGTTTGCTGAAACAGTGGACTAACTACTGCAGTGATATAAGCCTATATTATAATATCCTGATTGCCTCTTAGTATACAAGCACTTTTCTCCTTTAATGGTTTGCAGAATCTGCATGGTTCCTTGTTACATTCGTATCTTCTGACTTGCTAGCAAAGGAGAAATAAGCCTCCATGTCCCAGAATCAAGAAGAAGCATCAATGAATTCACAACAGCGATGCTTTAATAACTGTGTTGAAGAGATCATTTTGGCAGGATTGCTTATTTACCTCCCACAGCACTGTCACACACATGACAAATCATAACTGTGAAAGCCTATGTCTTTCAACACAAGAGTTAAAAGGTATACTACTGTTTTTCATCACCATTTTCAAAGCAATTCTCTAGACTTCAATAGACATTGAAAATACAGAGGTCATGGCCCCCAAGTCAAACTACTCCATATCCCACAGGTTTCAATGGGATAGTAAAAACCTAAGCTTCTCTCTGCTGTTCAAAGCGATGGACCCCAAAGTGCTTCACTTTAGGCAGATTGTGCTCATTGCTATGATGAGATGGCCTTTCAGCAGATACTAAAAAGAGATGGCTGAACAGCTTCAGTCCTTCCTTACAGCTCGAAGCTTCGGTCTCTATTCTCTATGACATCA